ATTACTGTCATCCGCCAGATAGATGTGGTCACTAACCTGTGTTCTCTCCCTGCAGAGGTTCCTGCCTTAGATGGCCATGTTGTTTACTGCAGATCCTTTTCAAATAATTGTTTTGAGAAATCTAACACTGTCTGCCTCGAAAACTGGGTCCTACTGCTGTGATCGTAACAGAGGGAGCAGTATTAAGAGCTACTTTAGAGTCGGACAATATTCATAACACATCGATTCTATCCAAATGCCAATGTTCCATTGCAAAAAATTTTTAATATTTGTACATTTTATTAAATGAGGCTGAAATTTAAGTTAAGATTTAAATAGTTTAAACTCACAAAACTTTCAGGTATACAGTATCGGCCAGAAAAAGGGTTGACATCTGGTTCCTCAATGAGATATATTCAGAGGTGTCAAGTAAAAAGTACAAATACATCGTTACTGTACTTAAGTACACTTTTTAGATATCTATACTTTACTCCATTATTTATTTTTCCTCCTACTTCTGACTTCTACTCATTACATTTTCACACAAGTATTTGTACTTTCTATTCCCTACATTTTTAAAACAAACATTACTAGTCACTCTTGGCTTCGGTTTTATGTTTATGAATATTTATTTCACGTCATGTGCGCCATCCAATGCAGATCATTGGCGAGATCCACGTCTAGTGATAACTAGTGTAATTGGATGAGTCATAGAACGCAAACACTCATTGGTTAGCTATTCGTGAAATTTGTGTTTATGCCATGTTACAATTCGGATACAGAAATCCCAAAGAATTTTTCGAAATAGTCGAAAAATTTAGCTTTCAATTCATAAAGTGGCATCTGGCTGTTTTTTTTGTTTTGTTTTTTTTAAGGTTACTTTTATAACTACTTTTATACTTCATGTAGTTTTTGGAGCACATACTTTTTCAATTCTACTTGAGTAAAGAGGTAAAGATGATACCTAAACTTTTACCAGAGTGTTTTTAAACTGCAGTATCCATACTTCTACTTGAGTAACAAATGTCTGTACTTTTAACACCACTGGATATAATCCTCAAAGAATTGCAGAATTAAAACAAAAATCATTTATCTTCCTTTGGAACCTTAGTTTCCATATTGTAATCCTTTAGAAATCCTGCTGGGTTAGCTGAAATGAAGAAGGCATAAAAGGAGACTCAGGAGTCTATATGAGTAATGAAAATTTTGCAAATAAATGCAAAAAATTACCCCAATCTATACTCAAAACTTGTGGAAGATACAGAAGATTATGTTCCACAGCATACGTGTAAAAAGGTGTAAAATACCAAATTTTTTATATCAGAGAAAAATCTCACACAAGACAGGAATGATTGAAGAACATTTATTTTCAATTTGTTTTTTAATGTGATAAATTTGCTGTCATGGTAAAACAATACAAATGTTTTCCAATTAACGTTGCCTGAGCTGTGTCATAAAAGCGGCAGTTTATCCAGCCATATACACTCCCTGACCCTCCTTAGCATGGTAGGAGCGCGCAGTTTAAAAGCAGAGGTATTTACGACTCAGCAATCTACGCCAGAGTTCCTGGAGCTCCACTGAACACGAGGGAGCATGGCAGGCTGTGTGACACCAGCAGCTCAGTTTAAAGATAGATAGGGCATCAGTTCAGCCGGGCTCTCATCAGGGTCTGAACACCTGCTCCTCTGCCTGTCTTGAAGAGTTAAAGTAAAGCAAGTTATTTTTCTCCGATCACATACTCAGCATAAATTGAAACAAAACACCACATATCAGGAATTCAAAGCTATTCTGGTTATATGTATGCGGTATTTAAAGGGGTCATAGAATGAAAAACTGAGTTTACCTTGTCATAGATGAATAATGATAGTTCAGTGGGTGAAATGGACGTACAGAGAGGTTCAAACCCCCTGTACTTTCGTCATGCCCTGAAATTTACATACAGACAAGCCCACTGGTTCACTGGCCCTGAAAATGAAAAGATGTCATGAAGACGTACTGTAAGACAATAGTTTAGCTGTTTAGCTACAATTGGGTTTACTTCTACAAGAATTACAAAACAGGCTGTTTCTCTATTGAAAATTATGCCAGGGCGACAGGTGTATATGCAGTGTTCCAGGTTGCACAGAGGAATGGGACATTTTTCACAGTCTTCTCTAGCATCTGAAGACTCGACAGGCATTGATTATTTTTGTCTATCAGAAGATCCCTGCAAAGTTTGATGCTCAGCTGTTCATTTGCTCTAAGCATTTTACCGAGACAGCTTTCGAAATCTTGGACAGTTCAAAGCAGGTTTTGCTAAACTTCTTTAACTGAAACGAGGAGCTGTTCCGACCGTAAGGCCATCACAACCACAAGCTGTAAGTATTATTCTGTTGCTAAGCTATTGATATGAAGGGTATGAAGAGTCACATGCTGGGCCGCTTACTGGACCGGACCTAAGTAGAGAGCCATAAGCCACCCATCCTTAGCTGGAGGAGGGTGGCTTGGGGTCAGTAAGTCGGGGGGGGGCACAGGTCGGTCACCGGGTCGGATTTGGTCGCTCCGTCCCCCGCTGGCTCCCTGCCCCCTTCCGCCGGGGTTCCTGGACGAGCCCTAGAGCTGACGGCTCGGGTTCGTGCTGCAATGCAGTCAACAAAAAAATCCCAGACGATTTTGAAATTCCCCCCTGACATTTTTTTAGGTATGAAAAGAAGGAGATGTCCGGAAAAGAGAGGAAAAGGACGTCTGGTTACCCTACCATATAAACAATTTTGATGTTTCAGTGAGTGAGTGCTTGATGCTATGATGCTCATCGTAAACCAACCAATCAGCGCACAGCTCATTTAAATGTTCATGAACATACCATAACAGGAAGAAAACCTGTTCTTTCATTCTAGGGCTTTTAACCAAGCTTGCATTAGGGTGCATAGAATATCAAACAGCCCTTTGCAGCCCAACCAATGTTATACACCCTATGGGAATCCAACCTACTCTGGAAAAATAGTTTACTGCTGTATAAGTTGACCCTTTGTTAAGCAAAGGGCAGTGTGTTTCTTCTCATTAATAGAGGAGAATAAGAATAATCCAAGATATCTTTTTAATACAGTTGCCGAACTCACCAAGAGCCATAGCTCTGTTGAACCGTCCATTCCACCTGCTCTTAGCAGTAATGATTTTATGGGATTCTTTATAATTGATTGATCTTATTAAAAATAAGAGCATTAGCACTCCTCTAACAGTGATTGTTTTATCTCTGAAAGGTGAGGCAGCATCTGAGGTAGCCATAAAATCTGAACCAGTCTTAGACTGCTTTGATCCGGTTGAACTTTAAGAGTTAGCAAAACTATTGTCTTCATCTAAGCCTTCAACTTGTATTTTAAATTCAGTTCCAACCAGGTTATTCAGAAAGTATTCCCTTTGATCTCGTCCCCCATTTTAGATGTGATTAATCTATCTCTATTACAGGGATATGTACCAAAGGATTTTAAGGTTGCTGTAATTAAACTTTTACTTAAGAAATCGTCTCTTGACCCAGATGACTTGGTCAATTATCAACCTATATGCAATCTTCCTTTCTTATCTAAAATTCTTGAGAAAGTAGTTGCTAAACAAGTGTGCAACCACTTACACCATAATGAACTTTTTTAAGAGTTTCAGTCTGGCTTTAGAGCTTCTCAAAACACTTAAACAGCTCTGGAGAAAGTCGCTAGTAATATACTAATGGCCTAAGATAATGGATTTGTATCTGTTCTTGTCCTGTTAGATCTCAGTGCTGCAGATTGGTTTAAATGTTATCTATCTGATCCATTTCACTTTTTTCACATTAATGACAAATCTTCCTTATTCTCAAGGGTTACCTGTGGAGTACGACAGGGATCAGTGCTAGGACCAATTCTCTTTACCATATAGATGCTCCCAATCGGTAGAATTATTAGACAGCATGGGTACAACTTCCAAAATGTTGGAGCCAGAGTTCTGATGAAAATTCAAAAGAGAAACCATATCTCTCCTATCCTAGCTTCTCTTCATTGGTGTCCTGTTAAATCAAGAATAGAATTTAAAATCCTCCTTCTCTCATATGAAGCCTTATATGGCCAAGCTCCATCCTCTATCAGGGATATGATTGTTCCTTATGTCCCTAACAGAGCACCTAGCTCTCAATCTGCAGCTTTAATAGTGGTTCCTAGAATTTCTAAAAGTAGAATGGGAGGCAGATCTTTTCAGGGTCCTCTCCTGTGTAACCAACTACCAGTTTTAGTCCTGTCTACTTTTAAGGGTAGGCTTAAAAGTTCCTTTTTGGTTAAGCTTATAGTTAGGGTCGCTCAGGTTATCCTGAACTATCTATAATTATGCTGCCTTAGGCTTAGGCTGCTTGAGGACATATTGTAGGGACCCCTTTTTATCATTCTACTTCATTCTATCACTTTTTTCCCATTCTGCAGTATTTTCTATTTTAATTTCTAACTTTATGCTCTTTCTACCTATTCTCATGGTATCTTCAACTGGTCTGTTCCTGTTTAACTGTGTGTGATTAGATGTTGTAGCTCTGGCTGTTTTTCAGTCTGGTCCTGTTTCTCTCACAGTGACTAACTAATTGTATGTGCTCTCTTTCATCCTATATGACCTATATATATATATATATATATATATATATATATATATATATATATATATATATTTGTGTGTGTGTATAAATATAAAAAAAAAAACTGAGAAAACACAAGGGTTATTTTCAGTCTAACTTTTCAGTCACTGTAATACTTTTTCCATGAGTCTCTGCCTCCATCTAGTGGTCAGAAACTGAAAAGAAGGCAGCTCTAAATCAGCTGAAACTAATTAGAAGGTGATAACTAACTGACAGAGGAACACAAGTTGTTCTTGAAAGTGGCTTCTGAAATCTCTACACAAAGGAAACAGTATGTATTTGTCTTAACTATGGCTTAGATGGGAAGCTTTGGTCACTTCTGTCAGCTTGGCTGGGATATTTTGTTATACTTTGTACAATTTTTTTTTCTTCTTTTTTTTGGTCTCTCCTAAACAGATAAAATGGAAGACCGACTTTCTGAAATTCTGACACACAGTGTAAATTACATCCCATCAGGTCGACTGCTTCCACGTTCTCCTCCTATGACTAGTGTAAAGCGATACCTGGATTTTGATGATGCGGAATCTGTCATGCCAACCAGCAAGGCAGAGGTATTGTCCTTGTTCTACAGAGATAAATGTATTACTGGATCCCTGACTGACATGTATTGTTTTTATCACAGGCCGATGGAGCTGTTGGGGTGCTTGGATGTAGCAGTCCTAAAATTGGTAACTTAATTTTTAAATCTCAACCGTTGTAATAAAAATACTAAACTGATTTCTCCTCCACTTTCTTGCCTTGTTTAAACATAGAGAACCCTTACTCTATGCTGAAGGGCATGAAGGGGTATCACCCCACTCCTGATGACTTAAATTTCATCAAGAAGAAGACTGAAGAGGAACTTCTTAAAAAGCTTCAGGTATATTTGGTTTCTTGCTAATGTTTTGGTAAAATATCCTTGCCAACAGTGTAACACTGATTTTAGGGAGAACTGGCAGAGACTCGGACCATGCAGGAAAAAGAACTAAAAGCCTTGGAGCTTGCAACTGTATCCAGGGAATTGACGCTGGCCAGTTTCAACAAAGTAAGTTTCCTTGGATTACAGTAAACAAGAGATTCTCCATACTAGGAATCGAAGCAAAAAAGAAAATGCAAAACAATGATTTGTATTTCAATATTATATGCTATTGAATTATCTTTGGCATTTAAAATGTATGCTGTATGAAGGAGCCCCCCCACCCCAGCAAGTGTTCCTAAGATGACTAGTTAAGAGCATTTAGCCAAAGTAAATGTCTCTACAAATAGTTTTCAAGGATTATTGATTTCTTGATATGGCTTCTTGTGTTGGTTTAATTTCTTTGAGGCTGCTGCTCTATTGCCAACATAAAATACTAAATGATGTTTAGTTTTTGTAACCCTGGAAACTCTTATTGTTTGGCTCAGTAACCCCAAAGTAAACGGAACCAGGTAGTTCCACTCTGTTATTCTAGGTTTTAAAGTTGTAGGGAAGTCGTATTGAAATGTCAAATCATTCTGGCTTAAACATGCATATGAATGTACTCTTTATCAGATGATATTGTCCAAAAATGTAGAAAATTTCTAATTAACTAATTTCTAGTTTTTTGTTATTATGTTATCAAGGCCAGTTAGTTATACATCAGCTTGTGCATCTACATTCAGCCAATCATATATCAACGGTCAATCAAATTTGTTTTGGTCACAGTTTGTTTCATATGTTACAGCTAATGGCACCAAAGTCACAACACAAGTTATCTCATTGCTGACACATTCCAGAGATATTTTAATTGTTTTACAGACTGTTTGGTTAAAAGTTTTCATGGAGACATTGATTTTGCAGGATTCACTTATCATGGAGGAGCGCAACTTCCATTTTAAAGATTTTCAGAGGTGGAGTTGATTTTTATGGTATATCGGTGCTGCATAAAGTGTAAGGTCATGAACTGATGGATTCATTGTATACCACTCATCTTCTGGCACATTACAGAGACAATTCAATAAGATTATTCAGTTAGACTGTTTTTAAAGTTTTCTATCTAAGGAAAGCCAGCTGATTGCATTCAGCCATTGAGTCAAGATTCTCTCCTCCTAGCTAAGCATGAGGCAATGGGAGATATTCCCCTTACACTGAATACACATGCAGCAATAGTGCAGATAGAAACCTTCTGCTGAGGCTGGTTGGGGTTCAAGGACACATTAACAAATGCATAAAACAAACACAAAAGCACTAATCCATAGAGACTTTATTTTTTGGAAAAGGTTATGGTAAATTAGCTCTAAAGGTGACTGTCTAGGAGAGCAACAGAAAGACAAGCTCTGAGCCAGTTTTCATGTCCAAAGGAATGAAAGAGAGCACATGCAGTTAATCACAGGTAAAGCTGAGCCCATAGCTATGTCTAGGAGAGAAATGTCCAACTCTTTTATCTATAACCAGAGGTATTGATGGCAGCAGTCCAACTGATCTCTCCCTCCTCAGTGGTCCACATCGAAATGGGACCAGGCTAGATGACGCTACTATCATTTGAAAAAGCAGAATATATAATGTTACAAGCGGAAGTAAAAATCTATTGAAAATTGGAGAATTTTAGTAAAATGATGAAAGGTGGTCTCTATGTCCTCAAGCAGCCGAAGAGCCAATAGCAGCATAGAAATAGAGATGGATTAGGATAACCAGAGCAACTCGATCTATAAAACGAAACACTAAACTATCATGCTTTTTATCTTTCAGTTTCCTTCAATTGACCAGTTTTCCAACTTGGTCCAACTGGTCCTTGGAGAGACATCACCTGTAGACTTGACAGATGTTGATATAAAGTCAATTTTGATCATGGTCACATTGGAGAAAATCCAGAGATTAAATGACGAGAAGAGGAAGACTATTGCTCAAATGGAGGAGTTCATTGCAGAAAAGTAACATTTAACAGAATGTTTCTCATGTTCTGTATGATAAAACTCAAGCTGAAATTACCTGATTTTGTTTAAGGCACAAAAAAGAAGCTGAAGATGAAGAGCAGATTAAAATGCAACTTGCCAATGAAAAGGTAAGAAATAGTTTTCAGTTAACTTGTTGCATCCAGGGGCCCCAAGTTCACGAAGCAGTAAATGGCAATCCAGAGTAAACTCTAGGGTATATTCCCAAATACCCTGGCTTTTCAGGTTTGCAAAGCCATGAGTAAAATCATGCCAGTAAAGTTCTGCATTAACATTTTTTTGTTTTTTTTTCAATAACAATGAGTATTTCCTACTTTTATGCTGAGGAGGTGTCGGGACATGACCTGTCCTTTTCTGGAAGAGCCTAATTAGGTTGTAGTGGAAAATAGTCTGAAAATATCTCTTTCAGGAGAGGGTGATTACAGTGCAATTCAGTGTTTTCATCCTTTTAAAAGGAAGATCTCTTCTTAAAATTTGCTTCGATAAAGATGTCATATTTTAAAATTTTCAGCTAAATAGGATTCATGTTTTGATACTTTTTAGTATTGCTAGCACAACATAAAACACTGAAGTGTGAAAATGACCTGCTGCACATGCATTTTTGGGGAAATCGCTTCATTAATGCTGCCTTTTGTGTTGCACCAAGACATTTATTTAATGCAAACTGAGGGCTAAGCAAAGAAGGGTTTTTAGAAAAGTTAACATAAGCTCAGCAGGTAAATTTTTTAAATGTTTTTAATTAATGGGATTGGATCCAAAGTGAATCTCCCATTTATCCTGGTGCTGACCCTACAGCTGTAGTTACCTGCTTTGTCTCTAGCTGAAGATCCAGGAGCTGATGAAACAATTAACTGAACTGAAATCTGACCTCTTTCATCTAGAGGTAAGTCCTTTTGGGGTAATATTTTGTTCCATTTTTGTTGCAAGTAAAGAACACGTTTTGTTCATTCAAATTTGGAAAATTTTGAAACTGAGAAGTTTTTATAATACAAAAGGGTTCTGAGAGGCAATTTTTTTCCAATCATTTTTTTTATTTTATTTGCACGTCGTTTTTTTTTTTTTCCAGATAAAGTTGTATTAATTGCATTTTTTTTACTGAGTTTTACAAATTGCATTCTACGGAAGAGGATTAGGGCCACCGAGAAAAAAAAAAAATAAGTTAACTGATTTTTAAATTTTATTTCAGTTTAACATGGGAAAAAAGTCAGAATTCTGACTTTAATCTCAGAATTCTGTCTTTAATCTCAGAATTCTGTCTTTAATCTCAGAATTCAGTTAGAATTCTGAGATTAAAGTCAGAATTCTGACTTTTTTCCCATGTTAAACTGAAATATTTAAAAATAAATATAGATATAAATAAATGCTCAATAAAGAAATAAGCATACAATTATTTGCCCCAAAAAAATACAATAAAAAATTAACTCCTTTGTAATAATTACCTTATTTATTGTCTGTTATAATCTTCAACTTTATTTATTAATTGTAGATATCTGAATGTAGTTCTTACTAGTACAATTTTAAAATTTTATTTCTACTGGTAGAAATATAATTAGTGATATCTAAAATACAATTCTGACAAAGTATTGTATTTTGACCAGGTAGAATGCTACCTATATTAGAAATGTGACTTATCAGACTGTATATTTTATGTTAAAACAGAGCCTCATTATTCTTCTGAAGGATCTAAAACTAAATTTTTCGATAGGCATTATTAAAATTGAGATATCTGGAATTCTAATTTAACTAGTCATAAAATAAGAAGATATCTGTAATTATATTTACTAGCAAAAATATATTTTAGATATCAAGAATTGTATTTCTGAATCTGTAATGTTGATTTTTGACATCCGAAATGGTAATTGTGATTAGCAGTAACTCTATTATTGAGATCTAAAATTAGAATTCATCCTAGTCAGAATTCATTTTAGATGGGAAGAATGTTTTTTTTCTTTTTTTTTTTTTTTTAGAAATCTGAAAGTAAAAGCCCAAGGTGCATGAATGGGTGAAATGTGGCGTCATTCGTACTAGTAAGAATTACATTTCAGATATGTGAAATGTTTATTTTAGGTAGGAGGAATGTTATTTTAGATATCTGAAATGTAAATTTTGACTAGGAAGAAATGCATTTGAGACATCTGGAATATATCTCAATCAAGCTAATAAATGTCAAAATGGCCTGCCACAGTAGCAGCCCTCTCTCGACATAGCTGTGTGTGAAGGACAGCTGGCTATGGTGGCGATTTATTTTTATTTATATAAGTTTATTTTATAAGTTCTTTCTGTTCCCTTGCATTATAACCTCTACCTGTGTATTGAATTTGTGTTATCTGACTGTTATTACCCTACTAAATTAAAAAAGTAAGAATTTATTACTATCAAGACTATTAATAACACGAGGAGAAATGCAGCTTTAGACGAGCAGAGCGTGTAATAAAGTAACGAGTACGCTTCTGTTCCAATTGACCCATATTTATGCTGCGTACTTCCGTTCTCTCAAAGTCTATACTTTCCTGTGTTCTTATGAAACATACTTGGCGAGGACAGGAGGCCATACTTGCGTTCTTATGAATTGAGAAACTGCAAATTACTTCAGACTCTCCACTTTCTGTAGATTTGACCGATGCAGTAAAATGCAAAAAACAATCCAATGGGCAGAAGTTGACCGTCTAAGACACAGCCCTTCCTCATTTGTTTAATGAGGCAGAAATACATACAGAAATGTAAAAAAAAAAACAACGTGCAGAAATGAATAGCATTGAAGAAATAAATAGGATTATAAAAAATACAAAGGATGAATAAAACAGACAAAAATATTATTATATGCACATAAATAAATACTTTAAAAAATAAGTAATAAATAAAGTTCAAGATTAAAACTGACAAGAAATAAATAAGGTAATTATTACAAAGGCAAATACATAAAGAAGCTAATTAACCTCTTAAGTGGGGGTAATACCTCAGAATGCATAAAATTCCTCCAGTAAAATTTTTAGTGCTGTTTCAGTGGATAAATTTGCCATACTTACTGTATGGATATTAGTTGAATAGCTACCACTCTTTACAGAATTTACCCACAAAAGATATTGGCAGAGAGTTTTTAAGTCCTGTCTGGTCAAGACTAGGCTTTGTTCTATTGTGGCATGCTTAGAGGAGCTTGAAAGCACACCACAGGACATGGACATGTTAAACAATGTCATAATCCATGGTCAGAAAAGCTGGAAGGGGAGGACATCAGCCAAAAACATATATGTTCTCATTTACAAAACATGTTCTTTGTAACAATTATGGAATGAAATTCACTGCTAAATTTTTTCTTTTTTTTAAATACTCAAATCTATGTTTTGTGATCCAGACCAATGCAGGTAAAGAACACAAGGATGATTCGGAAAAGAAACTGCCAGCTGCTAAGGGTAAACAAAGATGTCACCAAACCCAAAGAAAGGATGTTAATCTGGGTGAGAATGTTGAGAAAAACAAATCTAAATCAAGGCAGAACCACGCCATCAAAGAGATGAATGTGGACCGTGGTCAGGCAGTAAAGGAAATGTCAAGACAAAAATTTGAAGCAGCAAAAGAAGGGTCACTGGAACAAGTAAAGGTAACCAGACGGGGAAAGGGACGAACTGAGCCACTGGAAACCCAGTTGCCTTTGCCTGGACCAAGACGATCTAAAAGGATTGCAAACCAATGTAAGATGCAAGACTGAATGTTTACTTGAACCTACTGCAGGTGTCTTTTCATTATGAAGAAAGTGGACAATGTGTCTGTAAAGAATAGTTTCCTCAGGCAATTCCTGTTTGAACCATCAAACTGTTGTCGAATGTGAAATATCAGTAAGCTTTTGACTTTTTATAAAGTTCCACATTGATTTATATGATTTTTAATTAGTGATTGTATTAAAATTCTCAAATCTTTATTTGGAATAAAGCCATCATTAGAAAGTTCTTTCTGTTCCCTTGCATTATAACCTCTACCTGTGTACTGAAACATCTCTTTCATTAACTTCTCTAACTCCAAACTTTCACATCCTCTTTAACTTCTCTCCATCCCAGAGCACCTCCGTTTTAGCAGTTCCTCCCGTCTTGCTATGCTCAGAGTTTCTTGAATCTGAAAGAGAGCATGCACAGTATTATGTGCACGATATTATGTTTATTCATAGAAGTACAATAGAAGGTATTCAAAGCTTAATTTAATATAACTTCATTAAAACTCACCATTGGCATCTAGCACACAGGCATTTTCTACCCAAACCTTTTCTGTTTGTTGTTGTGTGTCTTTATAAGTGTTAGGGTTCTGTGGGCTGCGCCCGTTTAGGGTGCAATTTTTTTCCTTCCTCTCTCCTCACAGGTGACCTTTGATGGCTGGTGTTCGGCGTTAAACAGCTTCAGTGGGAGTATCTAAGTGGATTGCCAGCACAACACTGCCAGAGTGTTAACCTAGTGTGGTACCCCCCAGTTGGCTACTGTAAGATGACAGCTCTCTCTCTTCTTGCTAACGCTGTGTCCCCTGTGTCCCAGGTTGCCTCAAGCTCGAATCCCCTTCCGCACAACTTCCCGTGTTCAAGCCCCTGACGAATTGTCCTGCCCATTCTTCCCCTACAATCCCCAGCTTGCAGCTGGCCCAGGACCCCCCAAGCCTTCATAAGCTGGACCCCGACCACGCCCCACCCATCAGCCTTCCTGCCTTAAGATCACCTGTGCTCTCAGTGCAAAAAGAAGCCATAATTCAATATCAATTAAATTCAGTTTATTTCTATAGCGCCAAATTCACAACACGTCATCTCAAGGCACTTTAGAGTTCAACCAGATCATACAGTCAAATTGATACAAAGTTTTCTATCTAAGGAAAACCAGTTGATTGCATCGACTCATTGACTCAAATACAATCCCTCACACTAAGCATGCTTGTAGCAACAGTGGAGAGGAAAAACTCCCTTTTAACAGGAAGAAACCTCCAGCAGAACCAGGCTCAGTGTGAGCAGCCATTTGCTGAGGCCGACTGGGGTTCAAGGAGAATAAGCTGCCATCCCTATGGCTCACTTGATAAGAACGCACTGGTGGGTTTGCTTCTTGAACCCACTTTTGAAATCTAACCGTGTCCTTTGATTCTAGAACCTGATGCTGCTGCTCCTCCCTAGATAACCCAACGCCCCATCATCCTGTCATTCCCTGAGCCTTCAGCATCCTGCTGACCTTTTCATCTACTTCTCCAAATACAATTGCTGAAATTATGACTTGTTCTGTATCTGTACCAGAAGTTCACCCAGCTCAAAGGGTCAGCCACCCGTTCTCAGGGGATCGTCACCTTCCTGACTGACTGCAGCAGTTTCCACTGGGAAGCATCTTTCGCTAGACAAGGACCATCAACACAACTTGAGAATAAAATGTCATTTCAACATCCTCCACAATACTACGTTTAGATCTGAATACTGCGAATTGTTGTTCCTAACTCCTCTACCTTCCCCTTTCACAAGGTCATCAAAAACTGCTATATCACGGATGAGAAAGGAAATCTGGAGTTCTGCATTGAATCCAGACAGCCCTTTGCCTTTTACAGTAGATGTCATTATGCAACAGAAAAACACACAAATGATACTTGTAAATTTCCAAAAAACAAATCTTTGCACAACTTTAGCGAATGACTGAAGCTAACCATTATAAAACCCAAAACATATGAAGAATTATCATGCCTTCTTTTCCTACCTTTTGCACTTTTGACAGCACTTATCCGGTGTCTATTGAAACACTTCAGCTTTGGCCTTGTGACAAACTTAATTAATTTTTGTCTGCTCTGAGTCCCTTACAGTTCCTAGGAACCTCCCTTTGTTTGGACCTGAGACCATCGTTTCACATAAAAAAGAGGGGGGTGGGCAGTACTACCTAGCCTGACGTAGTCCGACTCAATTCTAGTCAGAATATGAGTCTGATACTACTCCATAGAGCTGTGATTATGGGGCGTGTTTCGAACGAACCAGGAAAAAAAATGCCTCTGCACTCAATTGGATAGACCTACAACCAATAAGAGCAATGGAGTGCGTGACGTATGTTAAGCGAGGCATAGTTGTTGTCAACAAAAATCAAAGCGTGCAGTTGCACGCCTAGAATAAGAAGATGAGCCTTGATCGCGTTTCTCTGTTCCTCTTTTAAAATTAATTTGCTGTCGATATCTTCTAGAACAGACCTAATAGCAGAATCTACTCACCTAAACTCTCCAGCGGCAGCCATTATTGTTGTCACCCAAGCGCGCATTGGTCACGTGGTTGATTACGTTACTGTTGGTCATCTGTCCATCATCGTATAAAGCCCACCCTGACAATTTGATTGGATCGCCTGACAGTGGGCGATAATACTCGCGCTACTATGGAGCAGAGCCAGACCGAACTTCCCGACCTCAAAATTTGTGGGCGGGACTAAGTTCGGAATGGCACCCAGGCTAAGTACTACCTGCAGCAACTAAAGAAATACAATCTTCCCTAAGAACCACTACTACAGTCATGTTAACCCGTTACTAATTGGTTTGGCTTCGCTGCACAGCGGGATGCTTTTTTTTTTTCCATACCACTCTAGACACAGCCCCTTTTGTGGATTTTGGATACTCCTGTTTCCGTTGCATAAAAAGGCCACAGATGGTTCATCAGCCCAATTAGCTTTGTCAAAATTGTGAGGGCAAAACTCTACTTTGCCTTAAGTCCAGCAGGTGGCAGTCAGAGAAAGTCTAAGAAACAGAAAAACTAACTTAGAAGTTTAACTGAAACCAAAAGGTGGTAAAAGCAATGAGGCCACTTTGCCCTTGATTATTTAATAGTTTGGTGACTAAAACGGCAACCTTAAACAAACCTTATTTGTTTCTGTTTCCATGTAATACAGGTTTGCAAAAGAAAGCAGTTTTTCTCCTTTCTTTTGCCAAGCCTTAAGCCTGGGAAACTTCCCTAAGTATGTCAGTTTCAGAAATGGGAGACTTTTTACAGGCAAGGTCCAAGCAGACAGTTGGGATAGAAGCCCAACATAATGGTTGGTCATGCAGCACAGAGAAAAATGTCTGACTACTCAGTGAAATGAACTTGTGTGTACCCGCTTCAAATAATTTTATATTTTCAAAAGTGGTTATTAAAAATTCCTGTGTTTGACAATCGGCCTGGGCTCTGTCCATATAGAGTTTGCATTTGTTCCCAATGCAAGGTTTTTCTCTGAGTACACGGAATTCCTCTAAAAGTTCAAATGTTTACATTTACTGTAAGACTGTTTTGGCCTGTGATAGATGGCTAGTGTACATACTGAATTTGAACTGCTGAGTTTTGTTTAGTTTTTTTACAGGGCATAGTTTCCTTTATAAGACTTTTAAAATTAATAAGTTCAATTTAATTCAGTTTATTTATACATTGCCAGTTCACAACACATGTCATCTCAAGGCACTTTATAGAGACAACTCAACCACATCATACAGTCAAACTGACTCGAAGGCAATCCCTCACACTAAGCAGGCTTATAGCGACAGAGGAGAGGAAATCAGGAAGAAACATCCAGCGGAACCAGGCTGAGTGCCGAGGCCAACTGGGGTTCAGAGACACAGAAGCAGACATACAGAAAGAAGCAAAGATACAAAAGGCAACTGTCAATCCGCTTTAAAGAGGATGAGGAGAGCACATACAGTTAGTCACATTCAGAGAAACAGGACTACACTGAAAAACAGGCCAAGCTCCAACAGTAGCTGACTCTGTAGCCAACTCAGGTGACATACACAGTTCTTTTAATGCTGGCATTTTATTTTTGTTTGTGTATGTGTTAATTGCCTATCCAAATGGAGACAAGATAGGTGTAACTACAACTACTGTATATGTTGTTGTTTAAGCTGGGTATTCAAGCAAAGCTGACATTTTGGGAGATCATAAATAACTTTTTTAACTGGGTTGAAGAGTAACCTCAAGTTTCATGTATCGTTGGATATGCAAACCACATCCCTTTTTTGTGATGCTTGTGTAGCTCTACCTGGCTTTACAATAATATTTACAATAATGTACCTGAGGTACAATATTTCGCATATGCACAATTGGGAAAAACCGGAAATAATGGCCCTTACTTATACTGATACTAATGACAGAAATGCTATTTTTAGTGTCTAGTGTCATAAATAGATTGGCTGACTGAAATAAACCAAGCGGGCAGGGGACTTGCAGTTTTCTGTCACAGATTCCAAAATATAGCTAAACTACTCAAAAATAAATGTAATTTATGGTTTAACAATGGTTAATGAGTTGAGTATTGTAATGTTTTTTTAATCTAAATTAATTCCGATTACAATGTTTTAGTCTATGACCTTTTTGTTTTATTTAACTGAAATATTACTTACCTCTAAGATGTTGCATTAGTTAGAAAGGATAATTTTTGTATTTCCTTATTTCCTTGGGATTCACTAGGTCTTAGAGTTGTTTTATTCATTGGTCTTCAAGCAAGCCAAGCTACAGTTTTACCACAAGGCATTGCAAGATGGCCAGGCTCTATGAATTAGCTATCGCCATCTAGCTTTCTGATTGCTCTGTGCTACTTCAAGCAGTTGGCAGCACTTCTGTTTATGTCTGCTTATGGAGGTGGATGCTGGAATTGTAATTAGGCTCAAAAGAGACTAAAAACTACCAGGACAGAAGCTCTGTGGATATAGCTCTATTTTATCATGATTAATGATTTGAATCTGGTTCTGTCTACTTCAACCCCAGTCGGCCTCGGCAGATGGCCGCTCACACTGAGCCTGGTTCTGTTGAAGGTTTCTTCCTGTTAAAACTGAGCTTTTCCTCCCCACTGTCGCTACAAGCATGCTTATTGTAAGGGATTGCATTCGAGTTAATGAGATGATGCAATCAACTGGTTTTCCTTAAATAGAAAACTTTTAATCAATTTGCCTATATGACCTGATGAACTGTAAAATTCCTTGAGATGACATATGTTTTGAATTGGCACTGTATCAATAAACTGAATTGAATTGAACTATGCCCTTTTACAATAGGATTTAATGTTTTAATTGATTTTAGCAGGGTGATCCATTATGTGTGAGTTTTGTGATAAGTGATGTCTAACACTGGACATCCTGTTTAACTAAATAATCCTTAACATCAGGCATCCCGAAAGTCGGGAAACCTTTAAGACCTGCAGGACAGCAGCCCTCGAGGACCGACTTTGGGGATGCTTGCTTTACATGTTGAACATTTGTATTAATTTAGATTTTATAGGCAAATCGTGTGATGCATTTGGTTTTGAAATACAGATTTTATGTCCTTAGTCATCAAACTGCCTGACAAATATTTGGCACCAAGTTCTTCAGACTGTTTGTGCTTTTCTCAATCATCTGACTCCCCTGTAGAGTTTCTATATTGTTTTGTTTGGAGTTCAAGGCAGGATGAAACACTCCCTTTC